TCAAGCAATTCTCCTACCTCAGCCTCCCAAGTAGTTGGGATTACAGGCACCATGCCCAGCTAATTTTTGTATTTTTTAGTAGAGATGGGGGTTTCACCATGTTGGCCAGTCTGGTCTTGAACTCCTGACCTCATGATCCACCCGCCTCAGCCTCCCAAAGTGCTGGGATTACAGGCGTGAGCCACCACACCCAGCGACACACCTGTTTTTAAAAAATAATTGAAGGCCGGGCGCGGTGGCTCAAGCCTGTAATCCCAGCACTTTGGGAGGCCGAGGCGGGTGGATCACGAGGTCAAGAGATCGAGACCCTCCTGGTCAACATGGTGACACCCCGTCTCTACTAAAAATACAAAAACATTAGCTGGGCATGGTGGCGCGTGCCTGTAATCCCAGCTACTGAGGAGGTTGAGGCAGGAGAATTGCCTGAACCCAGGAGGCGGAGGTTGTGGTGAGGCGAGATCGCGCCATTGCACTCCAGCCTGGGTAACAAGAGCGAAACTCCGTCTAAAAAAATAAAATAAAATAAAATAAAATAAAAAATAATTGAGCAAATCCCCCGTTGTCTCTTCCATAAATCTGACTTTGAACGTAGAATTTGCTTTGTGAGAAGAAAGCAGTCCTTGCCTTTTGAGCTAAAGGAAATTTCCCTCTTTGCTTTTCCCCACAGCAAGCATGTTTTTGAGTGTTGGGAGATTGAGACTCAGAGAGGTGAGGGACTTGCTGGGTTCCACCCAGCAGCAGGAACAGTGTGAACGACCGTGCAGCTGGCCAGAGTGCTGGCAGGGGCTAGAGCCAAATGTTTTCCTGAGTAAGGGGTTTCCCCTTTTCTTCATGGAGAACTCTGAAAATTCTCCACCTGGGAGATGGGTGGGCATGAAAGAGGTGGGGCTCATTACTAAGGACAAATTGGTAGGACTTTGGGGAGAGGAGATCCATGTGACCTTAGGTAGCAAGAGACAAATTTGAGCCTCAGTTTCCTCATTTGTAAAATGAGGACATAGTATCCATTTCGTAGAGACATCAGGGAGACTGGATGCAAAGAGCACTGACTAAGCATCTACAATACTTCATTTCTTTTTGAAATAGGGTCTCACTCTGTCAACCACACCCAGGCTCGAGTGGAGCAGCTGGATCTCTGCTCACTGCAGACTTGACCTCCCAGGCTCAGGAGATCCTCCCACCTCAGCCTCTGAAGAAGCTGGAACTACAGGCACGTGCTACCATGCCCAGCTAATTTTTGTCTTTTTTTTTGGGGGGGACGAGTCTCACTCTTGCCCAGGCTGGAGTGCAGTGGCTCACTGCAGTCTCTGCCTCCTGGGTTCAAGCAATTATTTTGCCTCAACCTCTCAAGTAGCTGGGATTACAGGTGCATGCCATTACGTCTGGCTAATTTTTTGTATTTTTAGTAAAGACGGGGTTTCACCATGTTGGTCAGGCTGGTCTCGAGCTCCTGTGCTCAGGTGATCCGCCCACCTTGGCCTCCCAAAGTGCTGGGATTACAGGCGTGAGCCGCTGTGCCTGGCCATAATTTGTCTTTTTTGTAGCAGTAGAGTTTCACCAGGTTGCCAAGGTTGGTCTCAAACTCCTGAACTCAAGAGATCTGCCTGCCTGGCCTCCCAAAGTGCTAAGACTATAGGCATGAGCCACTGGGCTTAACCTCTTTCTATTTTTTTCTTTTTGAGACAAGGGCTCGCTCTGTCACTTAGTTTGGAATACAGTGATGTGATCATAGCTCACTGCAGCATTCAGCTCCCGGGTTCGAGCAATCCTCCTGCTTCAGCCCTTCAAGTAGCTGGAGCCACAAGTTTGTGTCACCACACCCAGCTAGTCTTTTTTTTTTTTTTTTTTGAGACTGAGTCTCCCTCTGTCACTGTGGCTGGAGTGTAGTGGCGCCATCTCGGCTCACTGCAAACTTCCCCTCCCGGATTCAAGCAATTCTCTGCCTCAGCCTCCCGAATAGCTGGGATTACTGGCGCCCACCACCACGTGCAGCTAATTTTTTTGGTATTTTTAGTAGAGACGGTGTTTCACCATCTTGAATAGGCTGGTCTTGAACTCCTGACCTCAGGTGATCCACCGGCCTTGGCCTCCCAAAGTGCTGGGATTACAGGCGTGAACCACCACACCCAGCCATTTAAAAAATTTTTTTTTGGTAGAGACTAGGGTCTTGCTGTGCTGCCTACACTGGTCTTGTACTCCTGGCCTCAGGTGATCCCCATGCCTCTGCCTCCCAAAGTGCTGGGATTACAGGTGTGAACCACTATGACTGGCCTACTTCCATCTTTATTTTTCCCATTTAGCAGATGAGAAAGCTGAGGCCCAGAGAGGGGACGTGGCAGGCTCAAAGCCACAGTGGCAGACCTGGGACAAGGTCCAGGCCCTGGAGCCATCCAGCTTGGGTTCCTTCCCCTCCAGCACCACAGTTCCTCCTCCGACAGTCTCTGGCCTTGGCCAGTTTTCCTGTGGTCTTGAGGAAATAAAGGGAAGGGGAGGATCGAAGTCCCACCCCGCGCGACACACACAGTGGCGGCTGCTTTCCAGGAGGACAGATGTTTTTGCCAAATGGCACATGCACGTGCATTTCCCTGGCTTGGGGAGGAGGTGGGCGCTGAGAAGGAAATGCCAGCTGGTTTCGTAGCAAGAACTGCAGCCACACCTGAGGGATCTAAATAGCTGCTGCCTTCTCTGGGCACCTGCTGAGGGGGAGGCATCTGGACAGGGTTGGAGGGGAGTGGGGAACCGAAGGGCCATTTGGAACCTGCCGCAGCCCAGGGATGAGCGCCTGGCTCCACCTTCCAGAGGGACCTGCTCCATGCACCACCCCCACCCCCGCCTCCCTGGACCTGGAGGTCCATGCCCCGCAAAGTGGAACTCTTAAGGCCTCTGAACCACGTGCCTGTTGATGGAAAGAACCTGAGTAACATTCCTGGCACCCAGATGCTCAATGCTTGATGGCTATTGTGATCACCACCTCCCCGCCAGGGCAGGAGGCCTCGCTGCTGAATCTTTGAAAATGAGCTCCCACCCACTGCTCGCCCACCTCTCGTGATAGGGAGCTCATCACCTCCCATGGCAACCCACAGTGTAAGGTGATGATTTCATGGTAGACTGTGTGTTGGAATCTGGGGTCCAGGTCTACTTAGTGTCTGTGTGACCTCAAGCAAATTATTGAGCCTCCCTGCCTCGATTTCCTTGTGATAACCTGAGAGTGAGGCCAGGGCTTTCTCACAGTGTTGTTTAGATTAGCACCTTTGGAATCCCCAGGGGATTCGTGTGCACATCAGAGTCTGATTCACCCCGGAATGCCTGTGGAGGGGCTACGATTCTGCCTTCCCAACAATCGGTAGCAATGCTGCTGGTCTTTGGACTGCATTTGGGGTCTCAAAGGACTGCTTCAGCCGGGCGTGGTAGCTCATGCCTGTAATCCCAGCACTTTGGGAGGCCAAGGCAGACGAATCACCTGAGGTCAGTAGTTCGAGAACAGCCTGGCCAACATGGTGAAACCCTGTCTCTACTAAAAATACAAAACATTGGCTGGGCATGGTGGCGTGTGCCTGTAATCCCAGCTACTCAGGAGGTTGAGGCAGGAGAATTGCCTGAACCCCGGAGGCGGAGGTTGCGGTGAGCCGAGAACACGCCATTGCACTCCAGCCTGGGTAACAAGAGTGAAATTTCGTCTCAAAAAAAAAAAAAAAAATTAGCCTGGTGTGATGGCGGGCACTTGTAATCCCAGCTACTCGGGAGACTGTGGCAGGAAAATTGCTTGAACCCAGAAGGCAGGGATTACAGTGAGCCAAGATTGCGCCACTGCACTCCAGCCTGGGCAACAGAGCCAGGCTCCGTCTCAAAAAAAAAAAAAAAACAAAGGACTGCATTTCTCTGGGAGTTAAAGTAAGGGGCTAAGGGGACCATAGAAGGGTTTTTAATCACAGAAATAGAGCTGGGCATGGTGACTTATGCCTGTAATTCCAGCACTTTGGAAGGCTTTGGCAGGCAGATGGCTTGAGTACAAGAGTTCAAGACTAGCCTGGGCAACACAGTGAGACACCGTCTCTATTTAAAAACATGTATCATGGAAAAGCCTCTCTGTTATCTGTGGCAGGAGGTCAGTTATTTAGAGACAGATGAGGGCCCTGAGTGGAAGGAGGGCTTACTCAGGTCAAGGAGGAGAGGGCTCTCAGCTCATCTGATCCACTCTTTCAGACGCAGAGACTGATGCCCAGAGAGGGTGGCGGGCCTGCTCAGGCCACACAGCTCTGGAAGTTCTCCCTCCCACCAGGGGCCCTTTTCTCCCCACTATTCCTACCGCTGAGCCCTCCAGGGTCTCTGCTGGCCTGTGTGTCCCTGTGTTACATCCTAGAACACCAAGAAGAGGGAGGCACGAACCAAGGCCCTGGATCTCCCTGACCAACTTGACCTTTTTCCTACTCACAGCAGCCCCATTTTACAGGTGAGAAAATTGAGACTCAGGCTGTTGAGTAGTGCCCTTACCACTGTCCACCTGCAGCAAGGTCAGGTTCCGACTGTGTGGACATCCAAGTTAACAGGTAGAGGTGAGGAGTCTGCTTCCGGCTTTTCCCGCCCCCCCCCACCCTCCCAAGAGGGAGCTGCAGCTCAGGGAGAATGAGGACAATAGCAGGGGGTCACCCTACGGGGTGCTTCCACGTGCTGGCTCCTGCCAAACGCTGGCACCAGTGTTATGGGGCCTGTGTACAGATGAGGAAACTGAGGCAGAGGCAGGGGCTTGGTGGCAGGCCTCCGGTTTCTGTGGAGGGAAGGCCCAGGACACTTGGGGAGTGGGCAGCATGGGTCGTGGCGGGCACCCGGCGCACAGCGGCAGCCGGGTGCAGACCAGAAGCCCCCCCCACCCACGTCGCGGGGCCCGGCCGCCCCGCCTGGGAGCCGGGCACTGGGATGGGCGGGAGGCGGGATCTCCAGGCCGCGCCGCTTCCTGGCTCCCCACCCAGCGCCGGCTGCCGCCCTGGCCACGTCACCGCGGGGCCAAGAGTGCGCGGGCGGCGGCGCTGCGGGTGCGAGCGCGGAGCTGGGAGGCGCAGGCCGGGCCCTGGGGCACCGAGAGACTGGGGCCAGGGACGTGGCAGCCGCCCTGCCCGCCAGAAAGTTTCCTTGAAGTTTGCTGGGCGCCGGCGTACGATCGACCGGCCGGACCATGAACGTGTTCCGAATCCTCGGCGACCTGAGCCACCTCCTGGCCATGATCCTGCTGCTGGGGAAGATCTGGAGGTCCAAGTGCTGCACGGGTGAGGGGCGCCGGGCAGGGAGGTGCGGGACCCCCCTCTCCGGCCAGCCTCATGCCCCTGGGTGCCAGGCAGGGCACTTCACCGGGTCTGCTCAGGGTGGGGGTCCTTGAAACTTTGCAGAGCTCCACTTCCAGAAACAATGTAAAGTTGTATAAAATCAAAGGAGGAGAACCTCTCGGGATGATAGGAGGAGGGTGGGTTTGTGCCTGCACTGACGCCCCCTCATTTTGGCAGTGTCACTGCTGGTTGGAAGAGGGGGACATGAGGGAGGTGAAGACCCCTTCCTCCCCCCAGTTACACCCATTGTTCCCTCCACTCTCACTTGGGGGAGAAAGGGGTGTGCACACAGGAAGCGCCCCTGGTTCTCAAGGTCTTCTCTTCCCTGCCGCTTCCCAGACCCCACCTCACCCTCCAAACTGAGCCCTCGTCCCTCCCCGGCCAGCAGGCCAGCAGGTGTGGCACCGGTGGCTGTGATGTGGCAGGAGTGCACCATAGGTGGGCGTGGAGCTGCTGCTGAAGGGAAGCCCGGGGAGGGCTGAGGGAGGCGCCTGTTTGCATTCTGGCTGCCCTGCTGGGGGTTTGGAGAAGCTCTGAGGCTGGGACTCCTGATCACCAAACAGATCCAGAGCCACCTCCTGCAGTCATCTTTGTCCACTGGTGTCCTGGTGGTGCCCACCCTGTACCTGGCACTGGGTGTGCGGATGCAGGGATGAGCTCAGGCTCCTGGGGGACTGAGGAGGCAGAGAGGGGACCCCGAAGGCCCCGTGCAAGGAGTAGGTCGGGGCTGGTCCTGGAGGATGGGCAGATGTCAACCCAGCAAGCGTGTGCTGTGGAGGGCTCTGGGGATGCAGAGGCACAGAGGTCACCAAGCATGGGGCATGCCCCTGGAAGGGTGGGCAGCCAGATTCAGGGTGGTCTGGAGGGAGATGAGTCCAGGAGGGAGCATGGTCCAGATGTGAAAGGGCTTTTTCTGTCAGGTCAGGGAGCTGACTGGGGAGCCCATCATGGTTTGGGAGCAGGGGAGGGGATTGGAAGGGGCCTGAAGCAGGTTGCTTTGGAAGCTTTGGGAGAGAAGGCACAGAGCAGGGGCAGGCTTGGCAGGGTGGGGTCAAGAGGAGGGAGTGGTTCTAGGCCTGGAGGCGGTTTGCGTTTGGGGTCTCTGGAGAGATAGGTAGTGTGTCTCTTCAGGTTCTTCCTCAGGGAAGGTGGCTGGGAATGCTGGGTGGGGGGATCGGGAGCAGCATCAGCTCCGACCTGTCCCTGCACTTTTGCAGACGGCCCTGAACAGAATGAGCAACCATGACCAAGAGGGAACGCTGTTGGGCCAGATGCAGTGGCTCACGTCTGTAATCCCACCACTTTGGGAGGCTGAGGCGGGCGGATCACAAGGTCAGGAGTTCGAGACCAGCCTGACCAACATGGTGAAACCTTGTCTCTACTAAAAATACAAAAATTAACCGGGTGTGGTGCCGTGTGCCTGTAATCCCAGCTACTTGGGAGGCTGAGGCAGGAAAATTACTTGAACCTAGAAGGCAGAGGTGGCAGTGAGCAGAGATTGCACCACTGCACTCCAGCCTGGGCAACAGAGCAAGGCTCTGCTTCAAAAAAAAAACAACAAAAAAAAAAGAAGGGATGCTGTTACCTGGACCGCTGTCTGCCAAACACTGCTGGTCACCTGGAATGCAGGCCGGACAGCAGAGGCCCAGCCCCAGTGGAGCTGCCTTTTTTTTTTTTGAGACACAGTTTCACTTTGTCCCCAAAGCTGAAGTGCTGTGGCATGATCTTGGCTCACTGCAACCTCCGCCTCCCAGGTTCAAGCGATTCTCCTGCCTGAGCCCCCAACTAACTGGGACTACAGGTGTGTGCCATCACACTCAGCTAATTTTTGGATTTTTAGTAGATACAGGGTTTCACTATGTTGACCGGGCTGATCTCAAACTCCTGGCCTCAACTGATTCGCCCACCTAGACCTCCCAAAAGTGCTGAAAATACAGGTGTGAGCCAGTGTGCCCAACTTTCTTTCTTTCTTTCTCTCTCTTCCTTTCCCTTCTTCCTTCCTTCCTTCCTTTCTCCCTTTCTCTCTCTCTCTCTTTCTCTCTTTCTTTGTTTCGACAGAGTTTTGCTCTATCCCCTAGGCTAGAGTGCTGTGGCCCAATCTCAACTCACTGAAATCACCACATCCTGGGTTCAAGCTATTCTCCTGCCTCAGCCTCCCGAGTAGCTGGGATTACAAACACCCACCGCCACACTCAGCTAATTTTTCTATTTTTAGTAGAGATGGGGTTTCGCCGTATTAGCCAGGCTGGTTTCAGACTCCTGGGCTCCAGTTACAGGTGTGAGCACTGCACCCGCCCAAGTGGTGGAGCTGACTTTCTAGTGGTAGGAAACCACCAATAAACAATAGTCATAGGAAACTGAGCAAATGACATGGTTTGTTAGAGGCCATAGAGAGTACTATGGGAACAGAAAAAGGGCCGCTGGGTGGCAGGGATGGACCTGTATGTGTGGAGAGAGAAGTCAGAGGTGAGGTGCCTGGATGGGTGCAGGGCCTGGGGTGACCTCAGCAGACCCAGCCCCAAAGGCCAGAGACTTGGGCTTCATTCTCACTCCTCCCTTGACTCGCTGTGTGACCCTGGGCCTCTGTTTTCCCGTTTGTCAAGTGGGAGTGAGGGCTGCCCCTGGCAGTGGGGCCTCCCTGTGCTCAGTGAACCCCGCAGGGACTCCGGCCAGTCCAGGCTCACATTGTCCTCTGTGTCCTGGGTCTCCATGTGCAGCTTCCTTTGGTGGAAATGATTCATTGTTTTCAAAAGTGTAAAAATGATTGTGCTCAACATCAGCAGGGGGCTGGGCATGGCGGCTCATGCCTGTAATCCCAGTACTTTGGGAGGCTGAGATGGGTGGATCACCTGAAGTCAGGAGTTCGAGACTAGCCTGACCAACATGGTGAAACACCATCTCTATTGAAAATACAAAAAAATTAGCTGAGTATGGTGGCAGGTGCCTATAATCCCAGCTACTCTGGGGGCTGAGGCAGGAGAATCACTTAAACCTGGGAGGCAGAGGTTGCAGTGAGCCAAGATCTCGCCATTGCACTCTAGCCTGGGCAACAAGAGCAAAACTCTGTCTCAAAAAAAAAAAATGAGCCGAGTGTGGTGGCATGTGCCTGTAGCCTCAGCTACTGAGGATGCTGAGGTGGGAGGACCATATGAGCCTGGGGAGGTTGAGACTGCAGTGATCTGTGATCGTGTCACTGCACTCCAGCCTGGGTGACAGGGACCCTATCTCACAAAAAAAATTTAAAAAAAGTTCTCCCATCCTCAAATGTCTGGAACCAGAGAAGTGGTTAGGGAAGGCACAGTTCAGAGGGTACAGTGGAACAGACCCTGAATCAGACAGCACAGTAGTTCCCCTTATCCACGGAGGATAACTTCCAAGACCACCAGTGGATGCCTGAAACCACGGGTTAAACCAAATCCTAGATATACTGTTTCTTCCGTCTGATAACCAAGACTACTTGCTGGGCACGGTGGCTGACACCTGAAATCCCAGCACTTTGGGAGGCTGAGGCGGGCAGATTACTTGAGGTCAGGAGTTCTAGACCAACCTGGCCAACAAGGTGAAAACCCATCTCTACTAAAAACGCAAAAATTAGCCAGGCATGGTGGAGTGTGCCTGCAGTCACAGCTACTCCAGAGGCTGAGGCAGGAGACTCACTTGAACCTGGGAGGTAGAGGTTGAAGTGAGTTGAGATTGCGCCACTGCACTCCAGCCTGGGTGATGGAGTAAGATTCTGTCTCAAAAAAAAGTGGCCAAAGGACAGTAAGGAGCAGGACAACAAAGTGCACCATGGATTCCTGGATGGAAAAAGGGCAGCTGTGGGAAAACTGGTGAAATCAGAATAAAGCCTGGAGTTCAGTCAACAGTGCTCTACTGATGTCAATTTCTTTGTTTTGATAGAGTACTCTCCTTAAATACAATGTTAACATTAGAGGAAGCTGGATATATGGGCGCTCTTCATACTGTCTTTACAACTCTGCTGTAAATCTAACATTCTTTCAAAATAAAAAGTTAAAAAAAGAAAGAGACCAAAGCAGGTCACGAAACAGCATGGAGGCTGGGCGCAGTGGCTCTCACCTATAATCCCAACCCTGAGAGAACAAGGTAGGAGGATCACTTGGGCCCAGGAGTTTGAGACCAGGCTGGGCAACATAGTGAGACTCCGTCTCTACCAAAAAAAAAAAAAAAAAAAAGCCAGGCTGATGGTTTGTGTCTGTAGTTCCCAGCTACTCGGGAGGCTGAGGTAGGAGGATTGTTTGAGTCCAGGAGATCGAGGCTGCGGTGAGCTATGATTGCACCACTGGACCCCAGCCTGGGAGATGGAGTAAGACCGGGTCTCTAAAAAGAAAAAATGAAAAGGAAAGAAACAGCATGGCGAGTATGAACCCATTTTTGTCACCTCAATGCATCCATGTACACCATGTGTGTACACATAGATGTCATGTGTGTACATGTTCACAAAGATCTTGAAGGATGAACGCTGGGGCTTTGGGATATTTTTGTCTTTGCATCTTTATATATTGTCTGATTTTTGTATTGCAAAGAGTAAATTTAGGCATAAATTTTATAACTAGAAAAAAGGCTTTTTGGCTGGGTGCATTACAGGGTCATTCCTGTAATCCCAGCACTTTGGGAGGCCAAGGCAGGCAGATGACCTGGGGTCAGGAGTTCAAGACCAGCCATGGCCAACCTGGCAAAACCCCAACTCTACTAAAAATTCAAAAATTAGCTGGGCATGGGGGCAGGTGCCTATAATCCCAGCTACTCAGGAGGCTGAGGCAGGAGAATCACTTGAACCTGGGAGGCAGAGGTTGTGGTGAGCTGAGATCATGCCACTGCGGTTCAGCCTGGGTGACAGAGTAAGACTCCGTCTCAAAAGAAAAAGGAAAAAGGCTTTTTAAATCTTACAGTTTGAAAAATAAAATAGAATGCCCCCTGAGCCCTGAGGCTTCCTCCGCCTGCTCTGGTCTCCTTGGTGAATCAACACCTTGTAAAGTCAGTGAGTTGTTCTCCCTAAGACTGAGCTTTGGGCCTTGTCAGTGGAACTCTGGGGGTGGAGTGAAGAGAGCCTCAACACCCCCCAGCAAGCCCGACTCACACCACCCCCGACATCCTCCCCAGAGCAAGAGCCCAGGCAGGCACACGCAGGGGGACTGGGAACTCGGTGTTCGTGTCTTTATTTGGAGACTGGGAGACAGATTACAGCTTAATGAGAGGAACAATGACTCAAGTGATCTGATGGGAATGGTGAGCTTCCTGGCCCTTAGGGAGTGACCGTGCCCAGGACAGGAGGTCTTCGCTGAGTGGGAATGGACACCCTGGAGGCCTCCCCAGCTGCAGGCTGTGCACTTTCTTGAGGGTGGGCAGACTTGGGGGTCTGTGTCCTCATTGTCTCCTGTCTACCCTTGGCTACAGGCATCTCTGGGAAGAGCCAGATCCTGTTTGCACTCGTCTTTACCACCAGGTACCTGGACCTGTTCACCAACTTCATCTCTATCTACAACACAGTAATGAAGGTGAGGGGCGGGGTGACGGTCAGCGGGGGTCTGGGGGATGTCATCAAGCCCCCACAAACTGTGAGGTTGCCTGCTTGGAAATTCAGCCTGTGGAGCCAGGCCAACCTGGGTTCAAATCCTCACTTTGCTGCTTAGTGGCTGCAAGACCTGTCTTGGGCAAGGCCTCTGGTCTCTTTGCATGTCGATGTCCTCATGTAAAAATGAGGACAATACCAGTACTTAGCTCAGACGGTCTGGTTGGGAACATTAAATGAGATAATAAATGTAAATGTAGGCCGGGTGTGGTGGTTCACACCTGTAATCCTAGCACTTTGGGAGGCTGTGGAGGGTGGATCACCTGAGGTTGGGAGTTCGAGATCAGCCTGATCAACATGGAGAAACCCCATCTCTATTAAAAATACAAAAAAATTAGCCGGGCATGCTGGCAGGCACTTATAATCCCAGCTACTCGAGAGGCTGAGGCAGGAGAATCACTTGAGCCCAAGAGGTAGAGGTTGCAGTGAGCCAAGATCACACCATTGCACTCCAGCCTGGGCAACAAGAGCAAAACTCTGTCTAAAAAATAAATAATTTAAAAAATATCAATGTAAAAAAAGCTGCCATATATTAAACATTCAATAAAGGGTCACACCTGTAATTCCAGCACTTTGGGAGGCCTAGGCAAGAGGACCACTTGAGTTCAGGAGTCTGAGACTAGCCTGGGCAATGTAGTGAGATCCTGCCTCTATCAAAAATTTAGCTGGGTGTGGTGTTCATCTGTGGTCCCAGCTACTCAGGAGGCTGAGGTGGGACAATCCTGGTAGATCGAGGCTGCAGTGAGCCATGATCATGTCACTGTACTCCAGCCTGGGCAACAAAGCGAGACACTGTCTCAAGAAAAAAAAAAAACTGTGTATGTGATAGAGGACTGGAGAGCTACTTCAGGGAGTGTGGTCAGGGCTTCTTCAAAGAGATGACTCGTAAGCTGAGAGATGAGTGACAACAAGCAACCAGCCATGTGAAGATCAGAGGACACACTTTTTTTTTTTTTTTGAAGACACAGTCTTACTCTGTTGCCCAGGCTGTGGTGTAATGGCACAGTCTTAGCCCACTGCAGTCTCCACCTCCTGGGTTCAAGCTGGGAGCTTGCCTTGTGCCTCAGCCTCCTGAGTAGCTGGGACTACAGGCACTTGCCACCACGCCCAGCTAATTTTTGTATTTTTAGTAGAGACGGGGTTTTGCTGTGTTGGTCAGGTTGGTCTCTCACTCCTGATCTCAAGTGGTCTGCCTGCCTCAGCCTCCTAAAGTGCTGGAATTAGAGGTGTGAGCCACTGTGCCCAGCTGAAATGCAGACTTTAGTTGCGCACATTATCTAATAGGAATCTTATTTCTCGTGCAGTGGTGCGATCATGGCTCACTGCAGCCTCAAATTCCTGGACTCAAGGGATCCTCCCACCTCAGACTCCTGAATAGCTGGGACTACAGGCGCATACCACCATGCCTGGCTAAGTTTCTGGTATTTTTAATAGAGATGTTTTGCCATGTTGCCCAGACTGGTCTCAAATCCCTGGGCTCATGCGATCTGCCTGTGTCAGGCTCCCAATCCCAAAGTTCTTGAATTACCATGCCCAACTAGGAGTCTTTTTTTTTTTTTTTAGATGACGTCTCTCTCTGTCACTAGGCTGGAGTGCAGTAGTGCAATCTTGGCTCACTGCAGCCTCTGACTTCCAGGTTCAAGTGATTCTCTTGCCTCAGCCTCCTAAGTAGCTGGGATTACAGGTGCGCACCACCACGCCTGGCTAATTTTTGTATTTTTAGTAGAGACGGGGTTTCTCCATGTTGGTCAGGCTGGTCTCAAACTCCTGATCTTGTGATCTGCCCACTTCAGCCTCCTGAAGTGTTGGGATTACAGTGGTGAGCCACTACACCTGGCCAATTTTTGTATTTTTAGTAGAGCCAGCGGTCTGCCATGTTGGCCAGGCTGGTCTCGAACTCTTGGCTTCAAGGGATCCTGCCGCCTTGGCCTCCCAAAGTGCTGGGATTACTGGTGTGAGCCACTGTGCCCAGCCTAGGAGTCTTATTTCTAAGGAAGAAGGGTTCCACGAGGGGAATTCTATCTTGCAGGGCTATTGGGAAAATTACATGAGATAACATACAGCACCTAGAAAATATTTAACCAAGCGAGTTGTCTTTCTCCTCCATATCAGAGACATCCCTTTGAGATTTCAGGCATCTTGTTACTAGTTGGTAGAATGGAGGCTGCTGTTACATGTGGGGTGTTGAAGTCATTCAGATTTAGTGAACTTGAATCTGAGGACTGGAAATCACCATCTGCTTAAATTCACACATGTATCAAACATCACCTGCTTAAGTTCATTTCTCAGCCCAAGTCAGCCTTGGGGATTCCTGGCAGAGACAGCAGACTCAGCCCTTGGCATAGCTGAATGAGGTCTAGGAAGCTCAAAGAGGCTGGTGTCTACATTTATCAAATGAAAAAGTGATCATCTCATTCACTCATTTGTTTTGTGCCAGGCACTGAGTTAGGAGCTGGAGATTAAGAGGTAGGCCCTGCCATGGAGTCCTCTCTTGAAGAGCGGGAGACGGAGTTGTACAGAGACATTTATAGAGCATGTGATCATGGGATAAAAGGAACATATGGAGCTATGGCGGCAGTGTGCCCCTCATTTGAGTGAAAAAAAGACCGTCTTGAGGAAATAACTCCAGTCTTAAAGTACAAATAGGAGTGCTCTCGGCCAGTGTGGTTTCGTTCAGCCAGCATCAGCATCACCTGGGAACTTGTTAGAAATACAAACTCTCAAAAAAAAAGAAAAGAAAAGAAATACGAAGTCTCAGTTCAGGTGCGGTGGCTTACGCCTGTAATCCCAGCACTTTGGGAGGCCGAGGTGGGTGGATCACGAGGTCAGGAGATTGAGACCATCCTGGCTAACACTGTGAAACCCTGTCTCTACGAAAAATACAAAACATTAAGCAGGCATGGTGGCAGGTACCTGTTATCCCAGCTACTTGGGAGGCTGAGGCAGGAGAATCACTTGAACCTGGGAGGCAGAGGTTGCAGTGAGCCAAGATCAAGACACTGCACTCTAGCCTGGGCAACAAGAGTGAGACTCTGTCTCAAAAAAAAAAAAAAAAAAAAAAAACAAACTCTCAGGCCTATCTAGACCTATGAAATCAAAAGCTCTTGGGGCAAGGGAAGAGAGAGCATCTGTGTTCTGATGTACACTCTTGAAAACTGCAGGTCTGTAAGGTTAGCGGCCACATAAAAATGAAATCATTATATGCTAGAGGATAGCTACTATGATTAGAAGGAGAGCTTTTCTGAAGGAGCAGTGGTCAGTTAATTCAAGGGATGTTAGCAGGCATATAAGTAGTTCCAGCTACTCGGGAGGCTGAAGGAGGAGGATCACTTGACCCCAGGAGTTTGAGGTCAGCCTGGGCAACAACAACAACAACAACAACAAAAGGCTGGGTGTGGTGGCTCACACCTGTAATCCCAGCACTTTGGGAGGCCGAGGTGGGAGGATCACCTGAGGTCAGGAGTTTGAGACCAGCCTGACCAGCATGGTGAAATCCTGTCTCTACTAAAAATACAAAAATTAGCCAGATGTGGTGGTACATGCCTGTAATCCCAGCTACTCAGGAGGCTGAGACAGGAGAATCACTTGAACCTAGGAGGTGGAGATTGCAGTGAGCTGAGATCATGCCATTGCACTCCAGTCTGGGCAACAAGAGTGAAACTCCTTCTCAAAAAGAAAAGAAAAAAAAAGACACTAGTCCTTGTGGAAGAATGCTCTGAAGTCACTGATGCATATCCATGAAATTGTTTTAAAATTGTTTCAAGAGCCCTGGAATGCCACTGGTAAATCCCCTGAAACATAGACTAATCCTGTTTTGCTTAATGCTCCACAAATGGAGGGGACGGCCAGGGCACCTTTGACTCTTCATGGTAGCACCATCAGTCCCAGTTAGAAGCATTGAGTTATTTAATGAAAGAGTCATTAACTTCAAATTCTAGGCCATTGGACCCAAGAGAAATTGCGAACACATTTAACCTCTTCATGTCACGTTACGGCAGAACACTGGTCCTTAGGTTTGGTAGGCTTGGAGCCTAGTAAACAGGCTGGGAAATGACTTCATAGATTCCCATGTCTCTCTCCCTTTTTAGGTGGTTTTTCTACTCTGTGCCTATGCCACAGTGTACATGATATATGGGAAATTTCGTAAAACTTTTGACAGTGAGAATGACACATTCCGCCTGGAGTTTCTTCTTGTCCCAGTCATTGGCCTTTCCTTCCTTGAGAACTACAGTTTCACTCCGCTGGAGGTAAGGGAAGGGACTGAGTATCAGTTCTCAAAGGGAATTAAGCCCAGACCCTGGGCTTGCCTTCTGCTTACAACTGAGACCATGACTCATGTATTCTTCAGTTTTAAGTTTAGAAGAAATCGACAAGCTATTTACAATGCTTTACTTGAAAATGGGCACATCTAAATAGTCATGATGTCCATAAACCAAGCAGGCATCACAGCCCTATTTCTGGCTGTTGAGACCTTCTGTTCAATAGATGATTAGCAGATACCTGGAGCACAGTCCAGGCCCAGAAATTTTAACTCAGTAAGTCTGGACTGTGGCCCATGAATCTGCAGGCAACAAGCATCTTGGGAGATTCTGATGCTGGTGTTTATGGACAACACTTTTTTTTTCTTTGATACAGAGTCTTGCTTTGTCCCCTAGGCTAGAGTGCAGTGGCATAATCTCGGCTCACTGCAACCTCCTCTTGGGTTCATGTGATTCTTGTGTCTCAGCTTCCTGAGTAGTTGGGACTACAGACGCGTGCCACCACACCCAGATAATTTTTGTAGTTTCACCATGTTGGCCAGGCTAGCATCCAACTCCTGACCTCAAGTGATCCATCTGCCTTGGCCTCCCAAAGTGCCAGGATTACAGGTGAGCCACTACACCTGGCAACATGACTATATTTTAAGAAACTGTGGCTTCGGTTATGATTTTATACTCTAAAACTATCATTTAAAAATTGTTTTTGAGGCCGGGCGCGGTGGCTCAAGCCTGTAATCCCAGCACTTTGGGAGGCCGAGGCGGGTGGATCACGAGGTCAAGAGATCGAGACCATCCTGGTCAACATGGTGAAACCCCGTCTCTACCAAAAATACAAAAAATTAGCTGGGCTTGGTGGTGCGTGCCTGTAATCCCAGCTACTCAGGAGGCTGAGGCAGGAGAATTGCCTGAACCCAGGAGGTGGAGGTTGCGGTGAGCCGAGATCACGCCGTTGCACTCCAGCCTGGGTAACATGAGTGAAAATCCGTCTCAAAAAAAAAAAAAAAAAAAAAAATTGTTTTTGGCCGGGTTTGCATGCCTGTAGTCCCAGCTACTGGGGAAGGTGAGATGGAAAGATCGCTTAAGCCCAGGAGATCAAGGCTGCAGCAAGCTGTGATCATGCCACTGCACTCCAGCCTGGATGACCGAGCAAGACCTTGCCTTTAAAAAATAATTTAAAAAAGGCCAGGCGTGGTGGCTCACGCCTGTAATCTAAGCACTTTGGAGGCCAAGGTGGGCGGCTCACCTGAGGTCAGGAGTTCAAAACCAGCCTGCTGACCAACAAGGTGAAACCCCATCTTTAAAAAAATAATAATTAAAAAAGTTTTCTACAGAAATGCTCATGCTAGCCGGCGCGGTGGCTCACGCCTGTAATCCCAGCACTTTGGGAGGCCGAGGCGGGTGGATCACGAGGTCAAGAGATCGAGGCCATCCTGGTCAAAATGGTGAAACCCCGTCTCTACTAAAAATACAAAAAATTAGCTGGGCATGGTGGCGCATGCCTGTAATCCCAGCTACTCAGGAGGCTGAGGCAGAATTGCCTGAACCCAGGAGGCGGAGGTTGCGGTGAGCCGAGATTGCGCCATTGCACTCCAGCCTGGGCAACAAGAGCGAAACTCCGACTCAAAAAATAAATAAAAAAATAAAAAAGAAATTAAAAAAAATGCTCATGCTACACTGTGAAAAAAGCAGTGTACTGCCTAATCTTTCAAAAATTATAAAGAAAACCCTTATATTTACCTAGTAGAGATGGAAGGCTACACTGTTAAAATATAATTTTCATTGAGTACCTTTTTCCCCCTTACTGTATGTTCGCCAGCAAGCTATTGTTTTAGAAATTACATTTTAAGAAGATAGGCCCCTTCTAGGTTTGTTCAGTAGCTGGCTGCTCTCTCTTTGGCTCAGATCCTCTGGACTTTCTCTATCTACCTGGAATCAGTGGCTATTCTGCCCCAGCTCTTCATGATCAGCAAGACTGGAGAGGCTGAGACCATTACTACTCACTACCTGTTCTTTCTGGGTCTGTACCGGGCACTCTACCTGGCTAACTGGATCAGGCGGTACCAGACTGAGAATTTCTATGACCAAATAGCAGTGGTGTCTGGAGTAGTACAAACCATCTTCTACTGTGACTTCTTCTACTTGTATGTGACCAAAGGTAGGTCCTGGGGTAACAGCAATGATGCTGGCACTGGCCTAAAGAGTTACTCATCCATTCACTAAGTATTCTGGCAGATGCAGAGGTGAACAAAGTCTCTGCCATTTATGGTGTTTGTGTTCTAATGCAAGACAAATGCCATAAAAACTGCAAGCCAACAGGTTATGTGTACTGTACAAGTCAGCTGTGAGATGACACTTGACAGATTTGGTTAATAGTGAAAAACATTCCAGAACTTACTACAAGCCCCAAAGCAACAACCAGCTTGGTGAGATGGACAAAAAGGCTAGTGGGGTCAAAATCTATAAACCTGGAGGTAACAGGTCAACCAATACCAGTTCACATAGCTGAGGGGTGTCCAACCTTTTGGCTTTCCTGGCCCACACTGGAAAAATTGTCCTGGGCCACACAAAATACACTGATAGCTTATCAGCTTTTAAAAAAAAATTGCAAAAACCTCAGTTTTAAGAAAGTTTACAGGCCGGGCGCGGTGGCTCAAGCCTGTAATCCCAGCACTTTGGGAGGCTGAGGCGGGTGGATCACAAGGTCAAGAGATCGAGACCATCCTGGTCAACACAGTGAAACACCGTCTCTACTAAAACTACAAAAAATTAGCTGGGCATGGTGGTGCGTGCCTGTAATCCCAGCTACTCAGGAGGTTGAGGCAGGAGAATTGCCTGAACCCGGGAAGTGGAGGTTGCGGTGAGCTGAGATCGCGCCATTGCACTCCAGCCTGGGTAACAAGAGTGAAACTCCGTCTCAAAAAAAAAAAATGAAAAAAAGTTTACAAATTTATGTTGGGCCACAAAGCCATCCTGGGCCACAGGTTGGATAAGCTTGACACAGCATAGGTCAGGGTAATAGGTTTGCACTATTATCTGATTGCCAAGGTCATTTAAAAACCCAACCCATGAGCTGCTATGTAGGGTAAAAAGCAGTCAAACTACAGTAACTAGCCATGGGGCAGTTGAAGTTTTTCAGGAAAAAGGCTCTAGGTGGAGAGATGTGGACACAAGTGCTGGGACTTTAGAGGGACTGTTGATAGATTGCATGAGAGGTACAATAGACAAACTGAGGCCAACTGCTAAGTTTACAGCTGAGGGAAGGGCATCAGTAACCAAAATGGGGATCAGTAAGTCCATAGTCAACTGGAGATGAAGATTCCCCCTTTAACAATCACATTTAACTGTGAGCTGGCAATTAAGATACTGAGATTATGCAGAATAAAGCAGTCCTTTCATCAGATGGTAAATTCTAATTTCATCTCCATTTTCTTCCAGTCCTTAAGGGAAAGAAGTTAAGTCTTCCAATGCCAATTTGAGGACTCTCAGAGATGGTCGATGCCTTAATTTAACAAGCACATGAAGGAAACTACTTTGAACATTCTCCTTGGCAACTTACGGTAACTTGGGATCAAATGTTGAAACTAGAAAAATGCTTAGTGTGGATTTCAGCAAAGCCTGATCATCCCACCTCAGATTGCCCTTAAAGACCCATTATGAGGTCATAAAAAACCTGGGCCAACTGTACAAGTATGATGCCTCAAAATAACTGCAACAAACCTTACCAATGAAATGGATCAAATAAATGACTGCTAAGGCCGAAGGCCAAGACTCGTGACAAGGAAGTCAACCCCAATCTGGAATGATGTCCCTCCTGTTAGTGATCAAAATACAAAAGTGACAGCTAGTTTTAAGTGTGAAACTGTTATTTCCACACTGCCTTCAGGCCAGAAGCAAACCAAATTTACCAGGTTTGCCTGGAGTAGTTTTGTGCCTCACCTTTTACTTTTTTTTTTCAAACCAGTGACTGATACCAGCCTTGCACTTAATAACCACCAAAGGTTAGTACCATTTGCACAATCGCTGTCTTACTAATGAGCAGAGATATACCCAAGCCCTTACCTACAAGGTATCCTGCTAAGATGTCAACTCGAATTCTTGTATTAAGCTCAATCAATCCCACTTCCTTTCAGTTTTAGGTGGTGCTAAGGTGATGAGTCAATCCAACATCCCCAACCTTTGTCTTGAAACAAAAACTGTTTTAAGATGTCTACTATTCAGAAAATTTTTAAGCAATAAAAGCTCACACCTTATTGTCAACAGTGTTTTTATTTTACCTACAAAAAGAAAACAAGATGGTATCAAAAGGACAATTTACAAACTAAGAGTAGTAACATAGCTTTCAGCATCCTGTGCCTGAACATCACACATCTACAAATCTTTCAAGTCATAATGCAACAGGAATGTTTGGAGACCAGCAGGACATGAACAGAGCACTGATCCCAAGCAAAAGCCACTAACCTTTTAGATGAGAAGTCCACACAACGAATTGTTAGGGAGAATTGGGGAGAAGCAGCCCATTGCTTAATACATTGAAACCCTTTCCCTAAGTTGAGTTTCAACCATGAATGCAGTAACTAGCATAAAATGATTCTTCTGCTCATGTTCTGAAGCCAACAGCAGAACCTGAATTATGAGTGACAGACACGGAGGCAGAAGAGTTAAACTCTGCTAGATTTCAGCTGTGCTCAGGCCATAATAGCTTTTGAGGTTTGGAATTTACTGTTATTTTATGATTACCATGTCCCAGGTGGAAAAAGGGAAGCAAGCAATCCAAATAACCCACTTGCTTGCCCAGAGACCTTTCCCTCAAACAGATGCTTTTAAGAGCTGCAAGAGAGTAGGGCATCCCTTGTGGTGGAACCTCTATGTTTAAAGAAAGAGGAAAAAAAAACCCAGTTTGGTTGTAGAAAACAATGCCCATAACAGACTGGCCAGTGCTTAGACGAATCTGGGGTGAAACACTTTGGTGTGAAAGCACAGAGCAGTTTGCCACGTTTCTTCTGTGCCTACCATCCTCCCTTGGCCTCAACTTCTATAAGATTTGGGGGGGGGGGGGGGAAAAAAGGAAGTTAAAAAAAAAGTGGAAAATCAAAGATGTCAGTTTTTACATGCACATATTTCAGCTTATGCTGACAACCTACCTGTATGTTGCACATTAAATCATACTTTCAGAAGCCCTCAGAAACCATCCCTCTCCCCCTAAAGAATTTAAAATGAAAATAGTAACAAAAACCTCAAGTATTTAGATCTTACAAATTAGCAAGCATTCAGGCCTTAGCCAAAGAATGCAGTGGAGCCTTCCACCTTTAACTGCATTGTGAATGAATACCAATTAACAGCATAAAAATTAAGTCCCATATCAGATCTGGAAGGGGTTTCTGGGGCTGTCTGCTGTCTTTATCCTGTTGCAGTGAACACAACAGCAGAAAATTCTTTCTGGGTCCATCTGCTCTAAAAACTCTTGGTAAAACAGCATTACTATGAAGAGGATGAACTCACCAACCTTCAGATGGAGGAAAAGTGAAAAGGACTTAGGCTTTAGTCCTCCATAATTTTTCTTAAGCACTACCTACCTGTAGTAAGCTGAGTGCAAAAGGATACCGAAGAAAATCTGCACCCAGAAGCTGTTAGAAAGCACTGCAGAGAACAGGGTATGAAGAAAACAAGAGTTCTTAATAAACCCTTAAGATTTTTTGTTCAAGGTAACTTTGCCAAAAGGGCAGAGTAATTGGCAAAGAGTTGCTTTTATTCTAGCTCTACACTGCATTTGCCCATTTTGAATATATTGTTTATAATTAAAGGCGCTTTTTACACTGCAGGTCAATACAAAAACTGGTTAGTACATTTCTAGTGAGCATTTACATTCATTTGCTCACAGCAGCTGTCTGGCTGGAAAATGAATTTCACAGATGGTCCCCAGATATATTGGGAAGAAATACGGGCCGCTTCTACCCAGATGCTGAGATGCTAGAGTTTAACCACTGCAATAAACACTTGTGGTTTTTAATTTAAAGGATACATAAGACTCAGCAATTCAATTTCTAACTTGACACTAAAATGGTTATTTTTCAGTAATGGGGGTGGGAAGGCAGAATGTAAAAGGAGATAAAACCAATTAGTAATTTTTAACTGTTAAATGCACTCAAGTAGCCAGTTAAAACAGGCAGCCTGAGGAAACCTTTTGCAACTTGAAAACATTTAAAAGCACTATAGAAAATGTGCAGGGAAATCCCTCCTGGTTTTCTAACCCAGTAATGAGAAATTTTTAAAGCACAGATGCCATCTTCCTCTGCAAAAACAATTCAGCCCTCCTCCTCCCCCCTCCCCCCCACCCTGCCAACTCAGAAAAACAAAAGATGGGCTCCCACAAAAGGGCCTAATACCTTACTCTTTAAGATGAAAAATAGCTCAAATATCTTCAACATGCAAGAAGTTGGGGGAAGAAATTAATCTCTTCCAGTCGGCTATATATGTATATATTTTTACAAAATGTTATTACAGACTGGATTGTTTTGGCGGGCAGAAGAAACCTGGCAGTGAATTCTAACTAATCTGCATGAAAGACAAATCACAATGGTTGGAAGAAAAAATTAAAAAAAAAAAAAAAGAAAA